CTGTTCATGCTACGTAGTATAGAGTTGACTGACATGTGCCTTGTTGGGATCTTCACTAATGATTTTCTATATACTGATGATGCTGGGCTTGGTCTCCCTTCTTCTTGCCACCCTGCTCTCCGGTCACACTAGGACATGCAATGGAGCAGGGCTGTCACTAGGTAGAGCGGTGCCCCCTCCCAAATCTGCAGTGCCCCACCCCAGGAGGATGCCAGACCCACCCACCCTCAGTGCATTGTGCTCCTTACCCCTGTGGGGAGTCACCGCAGCCTTGCTGGCTCTTCCTGCTGCTTCCTGACTTCCAGCCAAGGAGAGCAGCGATGGCAGCGGCTCCACGCGTTCGGCTTTCCAGCATGATGTGATGGCTGCGCCCTGCCTTGACGGCTTCTCTCCTGGGGTGTTGGAGGAAGGCTAGGACCCTCTGGCGCGGGCTGAGGGGCGCATGGGGTTGGGTAGGCAAGGGAGGAGGAGGGGAGGCCCTTTGGATTTATTCGCAGCCAAGTTGTGTGGCTTGGGGGGGTTGTGCAGAGACCAGAGCGGGGGTGGGGGGCCGAGGAGAGCGCTTGATCCATGCCAGGGAGCCGGCTCTTCTATTCTTATTATTTTTGTGACATCAGAAGTGATGCCATGCCCCCCATCCCCCCCCAGTGGAAATAGTCTAACTATGGGGCTGCAATGGAGGTGAATCTGCACAAGAATGAACCAGTGACATGGTCAAGGTTTGTGGTAGAAGAAGAAGAAGAGGAGATTGGGTTTATACCCCGCCCTTCACTTGGAGTCTCAGAGAGGCTTACAAACTCCTTTCCCTTGACCCTCCCCACAACAGACACCCTGTGAGGTGGGTGGGGCTGAGAGAACTCTGACACAAACTGCTCTTTTTCAAGGACAGCTGTGCCAGATCTTGTGACTGACCCAAGGTCACATCAGCAGGTGCAAGTGGAGGAGTGGGGAATCAAACCCGGTTCTCCCAGATTAGAGTCCGCGCACTTAACCACTACACCAAACCACTACACCAGAAGATTAGGCCTCCTTTGGTTATTCAGATTTGTACCATTCAGCTCCTAGTGAATTCACTGCTTTGCCTGAAACTCCCAGGGTTTTTTTGCAGTGGGCAGGGACACTGTTTTATCAGCTTTAGTAAATCGCATCAGTCACAGCAACATAATTCCTGTCTTTGTTAGCTGAAGACTTTTTGTTGTTGTTCAGTAGCACAGTCGAGTCCGACTCTTCACGACCCTATAGACCAGATCCCGCCAGGCCCTCCTGTCTTCCACCGTCCTTTGAAGTCTGCTCAGTTTCATGTTCGTTGCATCTATGACACTGTCTAACCATCTCATCCTTTGCCATCCCCGTCTTCTTTGACCTTCAATCTTTCCCAGCATCAGGGTCTTCTCCAGTGAGTGCTCCCTTCTCATTTGGTGGCCAAAGTATTTGAGCTAGCTGAAGACTAGACTACTGTAAACACACCTTCTGTAGGGCTGCCCTTATGACTGTTTTGGAAGCTGCATATAGTGCAACATGCAGTGTTATTATACCAGCCATTAATGGATGATGGGATCATGTTGAATCAATGCCCCCAGCATTTGTACTGGCTAGTAATTCTGGGCACACACTGCAGGTATATTTTTACATATAGAATCTTGACAGTTCAATCTTAGAGTTATACCCTTCTAAATCCTGTGGGGTTAGAGGTCAGGGGGCTCAGTACTGGGATATTTGGTTAGTATGGCAGAGTTTGCACAATCATAGAAGCGTGCTATTGCATGTAAGAAGTATACTGCAAAAAGTAAAACTCTGGGGCAAGTGATGCTCTGTCATCTTGGTGCTTGGGGGGGTCAACGGTGGGAGGGCTTCTGATGTCCTAGCCCCGCTGGTGGACCTCCTGATGGCACCTGGTATTTCTGGCCACTGTGTGATACAGATTGTTGGACTGGATGGGCCTTTGGCCTGATCCAACATTGGCATCTCTTATGTTCTTATATTCTTATGTTCTTAAGTAGAAGATTCAGTTCACGTTCAGCCTGGGTTGCAGTTGAAAGGAGAGAAAGCCTAATCTAAAGAGTACTTTTCCTGTCACAAATGCCCAGATAAATCCAGCATCGTGTATGCGGAAGTATGAGGGCGTTGTTTCTTCAGGAGATGTGTGACTCCATGAAGAGCCATGTGTAGAATGGAAGAGAACAAAGAACACACATAGAGAGGAGGGGGTCAGAGGGCAGTGCCCAAGTTAAAACAAAGAGAGACATCCAATTCAAGGAACACTCTTAGAGTGATGCAGTGCCCCTCCCAATGTCCAGGCATGCTGAGTGGCCCACTCCCAACACTTGGAAGGGTATAACTCTGCTCAGGATTGTACTGTTAATCACTTCGGACCCATGTGAGGAGTCTGGAGACCAAATCCTATGAGGAGAGGTTGAAGGAGCTTCTTCACCCAAAGAGTGATTAACACATGGAATTCACTGCCACAGGGGCTGGTGGTGGCTACAAGCATGGACAGCTTCAAGAGGGAATTAGATAAGCATATGGAGCAGAAGTCCATCAGTGGCTATTAGACACAAGGTACAGATAGGAATTCTCAGGCTTGGTGCTTGGGGGGGGGTGCAACAGTGGGAGGGCTTTTAGTGTCCTGGCCCCACTGGTGGACCTCCTGATGGCACCTGGTATTTTTGGCCACTGTGTGACAGAGTGTTGGACTAGATGGACCATTGGCTTGATCCAACATTGGCTTTTCTTATGTTCTTATGAGCTGGATATAGTTAGCCTAGAGAGGAGACAACTGAGAGGAGATATGATGACCGTCTTCAAGTACTTGAAGGGCTGTCATGTAGAGGATGGTGTGGAGTTGGTTTCTGTTGCCCCAGAAGGTTGAACCAGAACCAACAGGTTGAAATTAAATTAGGAGAGTTTTCAGCTAATCATTAGGAAGAACTTCCTGACAGAGCAGTTCCTCAGTGGAACAGGCTTCCTGCAAGAGGCTAGATGGCCATCTGACAGCAATGCAGATTCTGTGAATTTAGGCGGATCATGAGAGGGAGGGCAGGGAGGGTTGCCTCAGTGCTTAGTTCTCGTGGCCCTTTCTTACATGCCCAGGGAAATGCTGATTGCCACTTTGGGGGTCAGGAAGAAATTTTTCTGCAGGCCAGTTTGGCCGGGGATCCTGGAGGGGTTTTGCCATCTTTTGGGAGTGGAACAGCGGTCACTGGGGGTGGGGCGGGAGGTATTTGTGAATTTCCTGCATTGTGCCCGGGGTTGGACTAGATGACTCTGAAGTTCCCTTCCAGCTCTATGATTTATTTATTTATTTATCCTTAAATTTATATCCCACCCTCCTCAAAGGCTCAGGGCAGCTCACAAGGGGCACAGATGCCCAGGTTAAGACACTAAAACAATACAGAATAATATAAAATACAATAAATACAGTTCGGTAAAAATTACTTTACGGTGCTCCAAAAATATTTAACTATGAAATTCAAGATGGGGTTCTAAAATTATTTATACTAGAACAACAAACAACAGTAATAACAATATATAGCAGCAACATTATACATTATAGCGTTATCCTCTGCCAGGATATTCTATGATGCTATGTACATCAGAGATAGCCTCCTCCTTTTTCATGTTTCCCCTCCTCATTCCCAACTGCATTCCACACTTGCTCCCTTCCTCTCCAGTGCAACAAGGTGAACTACATCAGGTCGTGATCCACTGGGTTTCTTTATTGGTCTCGTGCAGTTCTCTGACTATTCTGGCCATGTCTCTGTGAAGCCACCTTAGCAACAGAGCCCTGATTGATCGTTAACAGTATCTAGGATGCAAAATCTTAATTACAATAGATTAGAAAGCTAAGACGTTTGCATTTTATTTATATTCAAAGGACTTTGTGATGCGTTATAAGATCTCTGCTGATCACTGGTTTGGCCTTCGAAGGGAGGGCGAAGGACAGCCCTGGAAATGGACAAACGGTTCCATCTTCAACAACTGGTAAGTGCTGGTCCTTCTTTTCTAAAGACCTTATGCCAGAGAGAGACTCTAAATTTTTAAGTACGCTCCCCTCCCCCCAAAAGAGTATCCATGAAAAGTCCCCCCCTGTTATGTAGTGGGTAGCCGCATGGATGAACGACAGACAACGACGTGGTGCATGGCACGCTTTATTAGCACACAACAAGACAAAGGGACAAACGGCCGGCAGGCCAACTATATACACTCCTGGGGACCGCCCCTGGTCACCATTGGTGGGTTCAAATCTCCCGCCACGGATCCCATTGGTTCCCCAGTGGAGGGACTAGGATCCTAGTCCCCATTGTTGTTTCGGACTGAAGCTTGGGCATATGCGCTGACCTCCGGTGGCGGTCAGCGGACACTACACCCCTCCCCCCATAGTCCGGACCTTGCCCTATGAAACATAGTCTTTCAGGTACGCTGGGGGCTGTCATACCCTTGCTGAGCGTCTGGGTCCCTGTGCTGGGGCCTCGGGAGATCTGACCTCTGGAGCGGCCGTTAAGGGTGGCGCCGGGGCTTCCGCGGCCGCAGGTTCTGGCTCCGGGGGCCTCTCTTCTGTAGACGGGGGCTGGGTGCTCCGGAGTGAGTTCTCTGGTGCAGGCGGGGTGATATCCGGGGCCTCCAGAGAGTCCTCCTCTAGTTCAGTCTGCTGTCTCGGTACCTCTGCCTGCCCATGATCTGGAAGCATTTGCCGCCTGAGCTGGTCGATGTGCCTCCTGAGGATCTGGCCGCATTCTGTGGACACCTCATACATGACGGTGCCCGTTGGCCTGACGATGCGGCCTGCTAGCCACTTAGGTCCCCTGCCAAAGTTCTCGGCAAACACCGGCTCCTCGGGGAAGAA